CCTCAGTAGTAGAAAATTTAAAAAATCGTTTTTTTCTCTTTATATTGGAATAACTTTTTTTCTTCAGCTATATAGAATGAGATCTGAATAGTATATAATCTACTCAACACCAGAAAAATACTTTTGCAATTTTCTACTACTGAAAATGATGAAATATTACTATGCAATCTTCTATATTTTGGGTCGTATATCTCGAAAACTGTTCATTTCAGATCAGTTGAAGGTGATGCATTTTCTGAACAAAATTGAATAATGAATACGAAGAACTGGAAATAATCGAAATTTATTCAGTGGCGTAAAAAATATGGGAGGAAAAGTTGCCACAACCCCCTGTAGGGCACCACTGGATAAAATGTCCGGAATGGCTTTCTGGTCAAAAAATGACCCATTTATAGATGAAATCATATACCGAAGTTGAGTGCATTATAGTCAATCATTCTTGAGATATTGCAAAACAACTATTTTTATTTTTCAACTTTAACGCCCTGTATCTAGAGAACTGAACACTTGAAACCGTATGTCCCTATCTCAGTGATTATGAAATCACGAGGGCTATCACCTGTCAAGCGTTGTCGGTCGAATTTCGAAACACCCTGTATAGAAAAGACACATCGACGAATCGAAAATATCTGAACATATCCTTAAGATGGAAAACATAATGAAAGCAGAGTGGAATAATATCAAAATCATTGGAGAAGAAGATAACAACAAGAAGAGAAAAATCAAGGAATCTTGCATTCTTCTGAACGGAGACAATAGCATTGCTTCCTGTTCAGTTGATATAGATAGAATATGTTATTCACGACTGAAATCCGAAAATGAAAATGGTGAATTCAAGATTTATTAATGAAAACATCCTGTAACTCATTTGATTGCCAACGTCACCAATCATCACTGAGAACTGAGAATTGTCAAGAAGAATTCAAATTTGCCATACAAAACCAAATCCATTTTTTTCTACGACTATAACACAAAATTGCTCTTGTTTTACTGTGTTCGATACATCAATGAGGTACTTTGTGTTATTATTGGTGTTATTATTTAAGAAGAATCTCATCGCTCATGGAGTGTCGAATTTCAAGAAATGACATCTCTGTCTTATAGATGTGCATCACTTGACAGGAAATCAGATCGCTACATAGATCGCTACAAAACGAAGAAATCGAAAATGCCGCTGTAATCTGTTACAGCCGTAGAAAAATAATAGTGTTTAGCTTGCACGGAATGCTAATGCTGCAAACTTCATTCTCGTAGGAAATCACTCACATTCCGTGCTCGTTGAACAATATACTATTTTATGTTGAAAACGGGAGCAGATTCGTTCCAGAAACGTCCAAAGATAAGTGAAAATTTGATAGTTTCTCTATCCACCTTTATTTCTCTCATCCAAACCTTCTTCAATACAGATTTTCACTGATAAGCTAGTGAATTTTTCTTTTCGGCGATCTGATAGGAAATTTTTTTTATCTACTCACTGAAATGAAAGTAGGCGTTCGCTCCCTCATTTGAGGAAACAAAGTTATCAATTTACTCCTACGGGTGGAAAAAAATATTAACTCCCGTGGGAGGTAAAATAAATTTACTTCGGCGTGCATCCTTTGGTGTCAATATACAATAACATACAGATGCACTCCAAGTAATCAGTATCTCCATCACTATTATGAAACAAATAACAATAATATCCTAAATACTGTCTGTAGGTTAATCGAGGAGGTGGTACATTCATTATTCCAAATTTTTTGGGATTTTCTCTCCTCGTTTCTATAAAATAAAAATATGAATATTATTTCAATATACGTGTAGTAAGGACAAATCTACACGTATATTGAAATAATATTCATATTTTTATTTTATAGAAACGAGGAGAGAAAATCCCAAAAAATTTGGAATAATGAATAATATCCTGTTTGAATTCCAATGATATCATATGCTTCTTCATATTCCGAACGTACTTCTTATCAAAACTTTCCAATGTAGTTTCACGCTATACAAATCAATTAATTCATGATGACAGAAGTGTCGAATTTACTTTTGTTCAATGGCCGTCAACTGTCCATGGCTATACCTTTGTAATGCATAATGATGGATCGAGAGATAGACCGCCTGAAGTACATAACACAAAGAATGATGCTTTGAAAAATGCGTTCGTTGATAAAATCAAATATATATCATGGGAGCAAAGGTACATTTCCTCCCCTCCCATCAAAATTCACACGCGGGAGGAAATGAATACCTTTCCTCCCTTGATATATAAATAGCTATAAACGCAGTGACATTTTGGGGCAAATCATCTGATTTGTCCCTACTACACGTATATTGAAATGATATTCATATTTTTTTCACCACTAGCTATCCTACGTCATTTTATTAACCACTAGTCTATAAAGACATAGCCACCTCTGTTCTGATGCGTGATTCATATTAATGGCACTCGAATCTAGTAAGTAATAATAATAATAATAAATGTCTTTATTACCAATTGATGAAAGATAATTAAATTTTGTTAGTGCATAGTTAGGGCGAGATTCAGTTTGTTTGCATTAAAAAAAAATGTACAGTATGAAATATAAATTTTACATTTAACATACATCTGCTCTTCCATCTAACCCCAAAAGGAAGTCAAAAACAGCGAAAATAATGATAAATAATTTAAATCAATTCATAATAACACAGAAAGGATAGAAAGTATACTAGTTTAGCTCTTGTCCGAGGGAATAAAATTTTTTTCCGAAGATCTCAATTATTGCTCAGATGAATAGTAGAGAACTCGTTTAAGTTTATGTAGTGATGAGCGAGTGAAAGCGTGGGGTAAGTTATTGAGACGGTTAGCAATACAGTAAGAAAACGATCGTTTGAATGTCTCAGTATGGTGACGAGGTATAGTAAGAGTATTTCTGTGTCCTAAGTTTAGAGAATGTACATCGGTTCATCACTAACCACTTGTCATCTGCTGTCATGCTCGTGACTGCTAGATTTCAATTAGAATTGAAAAGAAGTGCTTTCATAGTGACAATAGGTTTATAATTCAGTCTCACTAAACTGAAATGATTGAAATGTATTGCTAGTGGTGAAAAAAAAGCAATATACACCTTGGTAGTGAAGAATATAATAATCACTGGACCTTATACTCCTCGGCTGGAACCTCGGGATATAATCTTGGTCCCTGGGCAATACTGATATTCTTTACCTTGGTGTATGAATAACTACACACACTGGCACAATTAGGGGAACGGGTAAAATTTACACTAAGTTTGATATCAATTTTCTTTCGAACCGATCGTTCGATTCGAATTTTGTTCTTCACGAAATGTAGCTTCATTCTTCACGAATACATCTGAGAAATAATTAGAAATAATTACCTTCAAACGATGAGTCTTTCCATCATATACAGGGGCGTAAAGAAAGTACGGATTTTTCGGTATTTTTTTAGACATCCTGTGGACTGAACCACTGATAATTGAAACGATTTCTTAACACCAAATTAGAGCCCAATCTATTCCGAATATTTTCGTTTTTTATTCATCTTGATATCTCAATTATTCAAGAGAATACAGAGTTTCAAAGGGAAGGTGGATATTGGTATCAATTTTACACCTCAAAACTCAAATTGGATCTGAAGATGTGTCGTTTCTTGACTAACCTAACCTAACCATGACTAAACCTCTGCCATAGGAGACAGAATCAGTAAAATCAAATTGTTCATTTCGTTCACCTCGGCGAAATAGTCTTTTCCTGCCATCTATTGAATTGGTGCAGATGCGGCTCTCATATGTTAAATGAACATTGGCCCACTGGTCATTTTCAATTAAAATGCTACAGCCCTCGCCACATCAGTATCACGTTGAATTTTCATTAATCAAATTTATGAATTGTGAATCGCTTGACTTTGACAATAATTAATGACATTAACAAAATAGCCAACGTTGATTAACAATAATAGCATTTCACCAAAAGAACATTGGAGCATATACGTATTAATAAACAATACGGATCATAACGGGTGCCAGGATGAAGCCAAAAATATGAAACAAATGAATATCCATAAGGATTTGGTGGCATGATACGCATGCGCCATGCGCTATTATAGTAGTCATCAAAGACATGCGTTTCGGTGGACAATGACGTTTACTAGCCTTTCAATCAAAGCAGTATGTGTCTGATCGTTTCAAAACTTTTCCTTATGGATAGTCATTTGTCTTCAAAAATCGGCTTCATGTTTCGCTATGGAAACAGATAGAGATTATCCGTATTGATTATTAATACGTATATGCATTGGAGCAACTTTTATCACCCCTGCATATTCATGAGAGTATTCGTATATGTGTCTTTAAACAGTAAACCGATAGGTAAAACTGTGAACAATTCTCATCTTGAAGTAAAGATCCTCACAGAAACAAGTTGAAAAATGACACGTTCTCCCCAGTTCGAGTTTCGAGGTGATAAAATTAATACCAATATCCACCTCTTCTTTGAAACTCTATATTTTCTTGGATAATTGGGATATCAAGATGAATAAAAAACGAAAATATTCGGGATAGATTGGGCTATAATTTGGTGTTGGCAAATCGTTTCAATTATCAGTGGTTCACTCCACAGGATGTCTCAAAGAATACCGAAAAATCCGTACTTTCTTTACACCCCTGTATATGATATAAAGACGAATCGTTTGGAGGTGGTTATTTCTCAGATGTATTCGTGAAGAATGAAGCTACAATTCGTGAAAAACAAATTTGAATCGAGTGATCGGTTCGAGAGAAAATTGATGTCAAACTTTGTAAATTTTACCCGTTCCCCTAATTATTGTGCCAGTGTGTGTATAATTTTATGGAGACAAGGAGAGAAAATCCCAGAATATCTGGAATAATGAATGTACCACCTCCTCGATAAACCTACAGACAGTATTTAAGTAACCTCACTTTCACTAATTTCACAAAATTCAAAATTGACCAATTAATCGATTTCTCTTCAATCTCTTTCAGATTCTACTCATCTGTACTCACCTGGAAGCCGTCGCAAAGGGGGTAGTAACGAGCAAAAGGTAGACTGCTGGTACGAAGAACACGACATGCATAATCGCCCGCTCGCACACACTTAGGTGAGCCCCATGACTGCCGGCTTTCCAAGACGGTCGCCGCTCACCTGCGACTTCTCTGCCGTCGCTTGCGGAGCCAGGGCGCCTGCGCGGACGCCTTCGCCTGCGAGCTTTCGCGAGTCCTGCGACGCCGCCAAGAAGGAGCTTCGGAGACGACGTCCGGGACGCGTATTGGCATTGTCTCCTATGGTACGACGCAACCTGAGAAAAATGTATGCCGAATCGCGGAAGACATCGGACATAACAAATTACAGACCAATAGCTCTGATATCTGTTTTTTCTAAACTTATTGAAATCATTTCAGCAGACGTCATATATGTACATGTAAGAACAACATTGTCCGAATTTCAACACGGGTTTGTTAAAAAACGTGGAACGACCTCAAACTTATGCACGTTTACTCAGTTTGTGTCAGATGCCTTGGATAATAAAGTGCAGGTCGATGTGGTATACACTGATTTCAGTAAGGCATTTGATAAAGTATCCCATCAACACCTCCTACAAAAACTTTCAGATTATGGGTTTTCCACAAGAGTTCAGAATACCTTGAAATCATATCTTTCAAATAGGCAACTGCATGTTGAATATGAGGGAGAAAGAAGTTTCAATTTTGTGGCAACGTCCGGGGTTCCTCAAGGTTCAAACCTTGGACCTCTATTGTTTTTGTTATTCGTCAACGATATCTGTAACTCAATTAGCTCCGACAAACTACTCTTTGCTGATGATTTGGAAATATTCAAAATCATACGTAATGGTGAATGGTGCACCTCTAACAATTTACTACTTAACGTAAACAAATGCAAAGTTATGACCTATGCAAGAATTTTGTCGCCGGTGGAACACAATTATTTGTTGAATAATATCATTATTGATCGGGTAAATGAATGTAAGGATCTGGGAGTAATTTTCGACAAGAAATTGACATTTGCACCACATATAGAAAATATTACATCAAAGTCTGCTCGGCTCTTAGGCTTCGTTATTCGCAACAGCAAAGAATTTTCTTGTATCGAAACAATGGAAGCTGTTTATTTTTCTATAGTATGTTCTAAACTTGAATACTGCAGCACTGTTTGGAATCCATACCAGAAAAAATATATCGACTCAATAGAGAAAATTCAGCATAAGTTTCTGAAGTTCCTATATTTTAAAAAACACGGAACATACCCAGTACTTCATTATGATCACCAGCTACTATCAGACGAATTCAAGCTGACAACTTTGAGGAAGCGTATAGAGAGATCTCCGACCACATTCCTTTACAAAATCGTCCACAATCTCATCGACTCATCAGAATTACTATCATTGATTAATTTCTATGTACCGCGAATTACTTCGAGATCGAACATAACTTTTCATATAGATGTACCAAATTCCTTCCATCATTATCATAGTCCTTTGCTTAATATATGTAGACAGTTAAATAAGTTAGAAAACGTAGACATTTTTTCCGTTTCGCTAGCACAATTTAAAAAAATTCTGTTTCTACAAACTTCGAATTAATTATTAAGTAGTGAACATTTGCACAGCAATATTATCACAAAACTCATTGTTATATACTCCAGTAAGTGGATTTTCAATCTGTTTGGATGTATTATTGATAAATAAATAAATAAATAAATAAATAAATAAATAAGACAATGTCCCACAATTTGGCAATGATACGCGAGACATTCTCTCCTGCTTTAGGACGCTATGTGCTGAATATTGAAGCGTCTGGATCTTGGTAAAACTGCATTTAGCATGCGATGGGCTTCTTTTCGAAAAATTTTTTTTGGAACTTACGTATTTTTGTCTGAAAAACACGAATTTGATAATGAAAATGTGAACAAACCATTATTTATCAAGATATTTCACTATAAAGTTACAAATTTCACCTTCTTTTCCGCCTGTCTTCTGGATTGAATCCAAAACAATTTACCCTTCTTTTTTCATCATTGAACAATTCATATATATCACAATGTAAGACAAATTTTTTTCTATAATTGAGTCAACTAGAAATATGATTTTCTTGTGATTCATTCATATTTATTGAAAAGAAGGAAGAAAATCATTTGAAATAATGGCGTGTAATGTCATTCCAAATTCCAAAGCAATCTATTGACATTTGACATCTCGTATTTGGATTGCCTATTGCCTATGGATAAAATGGCCGTCATCTGGTATGCTTGTTCACTAAAAAGGAAAAACGCATCATATAAATCATATTTCCTGTTGAATTTTCTGTATAAAAATGTGTCATTGAAGTACATCATGAGTATATAAAGTCTCCAATGACAAAATAAGAAGAGCATCAAGTACCTGAAAATGCATCCAACGCAAGGGGAAAAGGGAGTCGAAATTTCGAACTTTTTTTTGAAATATCTCGATAAATAGTGGTTTGTTCACATTTTCATCATCGAATTCGTGTTTTTCAGACAAAAATACGTAGGAACCAAAAAATTTTTTCGAAAAAAACCCATCGCATGCTGAATGCAGTTTTACCTTGTATTCAGACGCTTCAATATTCAGCACGTAGCGTCCTAAAGCAGGAGAGAATGTCGCGCATATCATTGCCAAATCGTGAGACATTATCTTCCGCGATTCGGCATACATTTTTCTCAGGTTGCGTCGTACCATAGGAGACAATGCCAATACGCGTCCGGGACCTGGTGGAGCGATCTCATGAAGAGAATACATTGTAGAACCACGTCGGCTTACACTTAAAAGAAAAAATGAATGAATTTTCACTCGAACTTCACTCAATAATGTCTCAATTTCATTCCACGCCCGATTGCGTTGAAAATTCACTCTACTTGACTGAGTGAAATGGTAATTCAATGAGTGAATATAAGGAATCACAATTGAGTCAATGTTCCCAGTTCAGATTTGAGAATTATTTCAGCTTTGCGATTTCTTGAGTGAGTTTCAACTCATTTTTGAGTACCAAGAACATTTATTGAGTATGTATATGCCCATTATTGAGTGCTTTTATACCCAAATGAGTATTTTAGAACTTTTTATGACTGATTTTATATAATATTGGGTAAATATGATATATAGTACTGAAGTTTATCAACAATCAGACTAGATTACAATACAATTCCAATCACAATGTACTCCTAATAAAGAACAAATCTAACACAATTTGAAATCATCAGTACATGCGGTCTCGCCTTTCTAAATCAAGTATGGCTTCTTCTCGCTGCAGAATCTTACTAACAAGCTCGTTGACACGTTGACAGTCACATCAATCTGCAGACAATAAATGCATATACTGTGCTAGTCAAAAGTCCCCTCCCCCCCTCGTATCTTTTGAACTGGTATACTTATAATAATGAAATTTGGAGGGTGGAAATAAACGTATGTAGGCTTCTCAACTGGTCATAACAGGTGACGCAATAGTCATAAATGACGTCACAAGGCCATCATTATAAGTATACCCGTTCAAAAGATACGAGGGGGGGAGGGGAATTTTTACTAGCACTGTATAAACAGCTGATTCAAAAATGTATTCGTCAGAGCAGATTTGTTCTGGGTATGTCACATAAATAGAGACAAATTCAGGAATAACGTTTCAAACAAATATTTTATCGATCTCATGAATGATAACAATTGGATTATTCAATCAGTTTTGATAACACTTTCTCAATTAAGATTCAATATACCTAATTTGGGAATAATGTGATCAATGATGATTCAATTTACTCATTTCTGATTTGAAATCCTCTAATTTGATTAATTTTCAGTCACTATTGAGAGAAGAGCAAACACACGAACATGGCCGTGCGTAGCTGTGAAAGACATCAACGGCGATATGGACTATTCAACAGAAGAATACGTAAATTGATTTATCTGAACGTCAGGGTAATCGGATATAAATCAACACTATATATACAATACAATTTTCAAGAATCACACTATCCAAATGAATATTTGAATTATTTGATACAATTCTCGATCATCAGCCATATTGTTGAAAGCCATCATGTATTTGACGAAATTAAACTCACCCGCAGTAAGTATTCCCTAACTTCACAAATTTAATCATGCTAAACTTGCAGTGAGTACTTCTTTTGAATTATAATTCACTTCGCTGAAATGGAAAGCACAGGATTGTTTTTATGCACTGAACTTCCATCAAGACTGACGCTGCGTTATCAATTGGACAAAACGGCCTCTGCTCAGTCTCGAGCTGTCTCGAGTCTTCCTCGCTGAGGACCACAGAGATTCGGACATTCCTTTACTCCGAAGTTCTTCATTCAGAATAAACGAAATATATGATATTGTGGTGACAAAGAACGGTTATCATGTTATTCCCAAATACACTATTCACTGTTTGAACGTTGAAAAAAGACTGAGACAGTGAGATGACTGAGACGCTAACAATATACAGCGCATGGACCGGCCCTTTCACCTATTATTTGGTGAAATCGCTCAAAAAATGAGTGATTTTCACATGTTTCATCTAATGGTAAAAGCCACTCTAATATGGTTTCCTTGTTGTTTTATTCGTAAATTTGTGCTATTCAATCAAATTTGTCATAAACATTGCCATAATCGGAAGGAATTGTGAAAATACCCAGTATTTCATTGAATATTTACTTAAAAACTTCCATGAGTAGATTAACTCATTACCAAATGTGCCAAAATGTGTCAAAACCTTGTTAGTTTTTCTAAGCTATTTGTTCAGGAGGGGAAAAACCGTTTTCCACTCACTAGGTACTTCGAACGATTCTATTTCATTTTTTCAAGACTATTGCGCCTGCGAGCTTTCGCGAGTCCTGCGCCGCCGCCAAGAAGGAGCTTCGGAGACGACGTCCGGCACCTGGTGGAGTGATCTCATGAAGATAATACATTGTAGAACCAGTTTTACTTTCTTTACTTCACTTAGGGTATGCTCCGTAAGCCTACCAAACATCACCAAAGGTACGGTTCACCGGTCCGTAATATCTGAAAAAACCGAGCGGTCAAATTCACCATGAAATATCGAGCAAACATCATTTTACAATGGAGGTACGAGACTCATTGAAGGAAAATAAAATATCATCTTTACCCTAATAGCATACAACGTCCTAGGGACGTCCCTATTTGGTACAATTCACGTCCGAACCAAAAATAAGTGTCCTTGGGACGTCCCATCCCGTACAGGGTGATTGACTATGGATTTCTCGACTTCAACAGCTGATATCTCGAAAACGAAAAAAGATATTTGAAATTTGGAAAAAGTTACTTGAATGAGATGTCATTTCCTTCTAGAAAATGTATTCTCTGCTTGATTTTATCATTTCATATACAGGGTATGTGAA